TTCTCCTCCTCCTTCTCTTTCTCCCTCTGATCCTTCTCTTCCTCCTCTTCTCCTTCCCCTCCTCCTCTTCTGTCTCCTCTTCCCCCTCCCCACTCTTCCCTCTCCTCTTCCTCCTCTTCCTCTTCTCCCTCTTTCTCTGATCCTTCTCCTCCTCCTTCTCTTTCTCCCTATGATCCTCCTCCCCACCCCTTCCCTCACAGCAAACGGAAGGTACGGAGAAGACATGTTTTCCTCCATGAGGACAGGTGGCTTGCTGGATTTTGTGCCCTGGGAGCCGGAAATCTCATCTCCGGCCAAGGCCTTGTCACCTTGTCAATCGTCCCTCAGCAGGGATTATGACAAGAAGCTGCTCTGTCGGATTTACTCGGGTGGTATTCTCTGCTGACCCTTCTTAAAACCCCAGGGGGTCTGGAAGGGATTGGGGACTCTTCCAAAGCCCCCCTCCCAAGTGTATTCAGTTAGTCCTCGACATGAACGCGTTGGCGAAGTTGGCAGGCTCCGAAGGAGGATTTCCTTTCATGGAAGTTGGAAGGGCCTCCCATCTGGAAGAGGCGTTAAGAAGCTGAGGAAACGATTGGTGGTCTCGTCCGTGGATGAAACCATTGACATTTCATCTGCTTAATCAGCCTAACACGGGGGTCTCTGACCCTGGCAATGTTAAGACTTGTGGACTTTAGCTCCCATAATTCCTCAGGCAGCCATGCTTGAGGACTTCAACTCCCAGAATTCCTCTGGCAGCCATGTTGCAGACTTCAACTCCCAGAATTCCTTAGGCAGCTATTCTTGGGAACTTTAACTCCCGGAATTCCTCAGGCGGCCATGCTTGAGGACTTGAACTCCCAGAATTCCTCTGGCAGCAATGTTGCAGACTTCAACTACCAGAATTCCTCAGGCAGCTATTCTTGGGAACTTCAACTCCCGGAATTCCTCCGGCGGCCATGCTTGTGGACTTCAAGTCCCAGAATTCCTTAGGCTGCCATGTTGGGGACTTCAACTCCCAGAATTCCTCAGGTGGCCACGCTTGTGGACTTCAACTCCCAGAATTCCTCAGGCAGCCACGCTTGTGGACTTCAACTCCCAGAATTCCTCAGGCGGCCACGCTTGTGGACTTCAACTCCCAGAATTCCTTAGGCTGCCATGTTGGGGACTTCAAGTCCCAGAATTCCTCAGGCAGCTCTGCTTGGAAACTTCAACTCCCAGAATTCCTCAGGCGGCCACGCTTGTGGACTTCAACTCCCAGAATTCCTCAGGCAGCTATTCTTGGGAACTTCAACTCCCAGAATTCCTCAGGCTGCCATGCTTGTGGACTTCAATTCCCAGAATTCCTCAGGCAGCCACGCTTGTGGACTTCAACTCCCAGAATTCCTCAGCCAGCATGACTGGCTAAGGAATTCTAGGAGTTGAAGTCCACAAGTCTTAACCTGGTGAAGTTTTGAGACCCCCTAGCCTAACAGATGAATTTAGGGGATTTCCTGCATTCTCCAAAAGAAGAGGCAGACTTCTTTTTTCTTCTTTTTTTTCTTTTCTTCTTTCCTTAGCTTATTCTAGGGGGGGAGAGTTTCTCTCCCTTTGTAAACACATTTTCTGAAGCATGTTTCATGTTGCTTAAAATGAAATTATTACAAGGGAGGGGCTCATTTTTTGAGCAGCGTGAGTGGTTGGTAGGTTTTGTTGTAGCCAGGCCGACAGCTAATGGAGCTGGCGGCAGAGTCGGACAGTTGAGGAGGTTGGAATGGAACCTGGGCCAGTCCTGGAGGCTGAGGAAGGCTCAGACGAGGGCTCTGCGTCAAAGGCAGAGATGGGGCCAGGGCAGGCTGGCAGTCATCAGCTGCCTTTGGGCTCAGACAGCAGTGAGGCGGGGGAGCAGCTGGAGCCTGTTCCCAGCCTGCGCACGCACAGAGCTGCTAAAAGGAAAGAACAGTTACAAACTCAAGGTTGACTTGGGAGTAAGGCCACAGGTGGACGGTGGATGGATCCTCCCATATGTCAGCTTCGGAAGCCATATTGAGGCCAGGTGCTCCCACGCTGCCACATTTGGAGCCTGGGAAAGTGGGAGGGGGGAATTTATTGGAGTGTATGTAGTGAGAAATAATAACATTCTTTTTCTGATTCAAGGTCAGGTTGTGTTGCACCTAAGTGAGAGGAAGTCTTAACTTGAGACAGATTGTGATTGGGCCATGTGATGTGATGATGGGTGCAGGGGATGGATTTTGTAGTTTTTACTTATTGCAAGGAAGCCTGGAACTTTCAGATTTGAGATTCCCCAGTTACTATTCAAAATAAACTTTTGAGAAGATGTCTGTCTCAGAGTTATTGGTTGGAGTGGAGGTTTGCTGGAATGCTGACACCATAGGGATTAAAAGAGGAGCAAAAGGGGAAGAGGCTTTTGCAGGAAGCAATTCCTTCATTGCAGCAGTGTGAAGCCTGTGCATTTCAGAGACTCTCTGCCAAGTCCTTCCTTGTCAGCACTGCGTTTGGAAATATTTACTTGGCAGCTCTCCAGGCTAGATAAGGTCTATGCTCTTAGTTGCACCCTTGAAAGACTGTTTGCCAGGCCTTTGGCTGAAAGTGGATGCCAGAAATTCACCTTCGTTTAATAAGAGGGGTTTTGCCGGGACAAAGAGTCTGCTTAGTGTTTTGGGGAAAGCCTAGGTCAGAACAGGTTTATGTGGTAGTTTCCGCAGCATCCTGGGTGGATTGTAGTCTATAATCTGTGGTTGGTTGGGGAAATCAGAGTTTCTTGATCTATATTCCTACATTAGCAACATGGGGAGCAGAGAGGCCGTCTTTCCTGTTGGGAAACTTGCTCTTTTAATACACCAGGATGGTGTTTAGCCACACAACAATGAGGCTGGTGTGGCTTGTGTCCTAAATGTTGAGGAAGACACATTGTGGAGCTTTACTCCTGAACAATCCACGCTTGAAAAGTTGGGTTTTATGTCGGCAATTCCAGAATAAAATAGAAGTAATTCTGGACTTACAAGGGTTCACTGAGTTCGAAGTATGACGGCGCTGAAAAAAGTGACTTGTCACTGTTTTGCACACTTAATGACTATTGCAGCACCTCCCATGGTCACGTTATCAAAATTCAGCTGTTGTTGTCTTTAGAGACCAGGCCTTCTCTGTGGCGACCCCCCATTCTCTGAAAACAGCATCCCTAGAGCAGAGGTCTCCAAACTTGGCAACTTTAAGACTCGTGGACTCCAACTCCCAGAATTCCCCAGGAAGTAGAGCTGGCTGAGGAATTCTGGGAGTTGAAACCCACAAATCCTAAAGTTCTGTAGCCAGCATTGACTGGCTGAGGAATTCTGGGAGTTGAAGTCCACAAATCTTAAAAGTGGCCACGTTTGAAGATCCCTACTTTAGTCAGTTAACTGGAACTAACTGGAGCTAGCAACTCTCATGTACGGGGGGAATAATTGTTTGGCTGTACAAAATGGGGAGGGAAAGCGCTCGTTGTTGACCCCCTGTGTCTTGATTGACCATGTGTGTCTTGCCTTTGTCTTCACAGCCCTCTGGTGCCAGCATGGAGGGCGGTGTGGATGGCCCCATTGGGATCCCTTTTCCCGACCACAGCAGCGACATCTTGAGCAGCCTGAACGAGCAGAGGAACAACGGGCTGCTTTGCGACGTGGTAATCCTGGTGGACGGGCAGGAATTCCCCACCCATCGTTCGGTCCTAGCGGCTTGCAGCCAATACTTCAAGAAGCTCTTCACCTCAGGGCTGGTGGTCGACCAACAGAACTTGTACGAGATCGACTTTGTGGATGCGGACGCCCTCGCTGCCTTGCTGGAATTCGCCTACACCGCCACTTTGACAGTCAGCACTTCGAACGTCGGCGAGATCCTCAACGCCGCCAAGCTGCTAGAGATCGAGGCGGTGAGGGACGTCTGCACGGATCTCCTAGACCGGAAGATTCTGGCCAAAACGGACCAGATGGATACAGTAGATCAAATTGATCAAAGGAACCATCTCCGAGCAAAAGAATACCTGGAGTTTTTCCAGAGTAATCCCATCAATGGCCAACAGGGCAACTTTTCATGGACCAACCAAGATTTGAGAGACCTTCAGAGGCTCACCTTCCGTGGCCGAGAGGAGGACGAAGAGCCGGATTGCAACGGCATGGACTTCTACTCGCAGGCCGCCCTCAGTGACAGACCAAAGGCAAACGACTGTGATCCCGATGCCAAGCACGCCTTGTGGGACGAGGATGAGGTGACGGGCCCAGGGCCCTTGTTCCCCGCTTCTCAAAATGGACAATTCAGCGGGCGTAGCCTGCCGGTGTCCTTGGGGGAGGATGACGTACCAGCGGGCATTCAGTTGGACCAGCAGGAGGTGGGAGATTCTCCAGCGTTTGCTTCCGGCGGACCCGAGCGAGATGAGGACCCCCGAGAAGTGGACGGCTTGGCCGCCAGCGCGCTCCTGCAGCAAATGATCAATTCGGTGGGACGGCAACAGCTGGCCGATGAGGACCGCAAGGACGACGACGGAGTCATGGATTATTACTTGAATTATTTTAGCACTTCCCAGGAGGGCGGCGAATATCCGTCCTGGTCTCAGAAGGTGGAGAAGAAAATCCGCGCAAAAGCATTCCAGAAATGTCCCATCTGCGAGAAAGTGATCCAAGGAGCGGGCAAGCTCCCACGCCATATTCGAACCCACACCGGCGAGAAGCCGTACGAGTGTAACATTTGTAAAGTTCGGTTTACAAGGTAAGGGGGAACATTTCAGAGGAGAATGAAGCTCTGTGTGTGTGTGTTTTTGTGTGTGTGTGTGTGTGTGTGTGTGTTAATTCCCCTTCCAGAAATTCTAAAACAGTCCACAACTTTGCGACCACAGAGGAACCCGAAATTTCTCTTGCTAATCAAGACAGCCACAGCCAATTTTGCCATAGTTGTTAAATGAACCAGTGCAGTTTGTTAAGTGAATCTGGCCTTGTCAGAAGGTCACCAAAGGGAATCACATGACCCCCGGGACACTACAACCGTCAAAGACATACCAGTTGTCAGGCGTCCAAATTTTGATCAGGTGAACAGGGGGAAGCTTGCAACGGTTGTGTGAAAAACGATCGTAAGTCCCCTTTTTTTTCAATGCCGTTGTAACTTTGAATGGTCACTAAATGAATGCTTGTTAAATCGAGGGCTACCTGTATTTAAACCAATCCCAGGGACAACATAGCTAGAATTCCAAGAATTGGACTGAGATTGGTTGCACGTTCCCTTGTCTTTCTTTTTTAGCTTTTCGATGATACCCTCATCATTGAGGCGATACTCATTTGCTGGGGGCGCGGCGGGTAAAGACACTGAGTTTGTCAGCTGAAGAGCTGACAGCCCAGGTTCGAGACCCAAGGGTCGCGTGACAAGATGAGCTCCCGTTCCTTGTTCCAGCTCCTGCTCAACCTAGCAGCTCGAAAGCATGCAAAGGCGAGTAGATAAATAGGTACCACTTTGGTGGGAAAGTAACAGCGTTCTGTGCGCCTTTAGCTGGTTACGTGTCAGTGCTGGTTCCCTCAGCCAAAAAACAGAGATGACCATCGCCCCCTAGAGACAGACATGACTGACAGGGAATCCTTTATCTTTACTTACTCATACCTTACTCATTTGTCCTCCATATGGAGAATGCCAAGCTGATTTCAACAAGGGTTGTTTAATTTGGTCTTCCTACACTTTTGGAAAGGAAGTTGTTGAAGACATTCCCAAATTTGACTGGCCTCTTTATCATGATCAGAGTGTGCTTGGGCATATTTTTATGTGCTGCACAGACAAGAAAGGCTCTCTTTTAGATCAACGTGCAGTCTACAGATAGTCCTCGAACTTACGATGCAATTAGAATTGGGATTTCTGTCACTAAGTGAGTCCTCATCTGACCGGATCCTATTTTTACAACCATTTATACTGCAGTTGTTAAGCAAATCAGAATAAAATAGCAAAGAGTTGGAAGGGACCTTGGAGGTCTTCTAGTCCAACCCCCTGCTCAGGCAGGAAACCCTATAGCAGTGATGGCGAACCCATGGCACGCGTGCCCCACGTGTGGCACGCAGAGCCATTTGTGTGGCCATGCGAGCCCCAGGCAAACTTACCTCACTGTGCATGCACGCACCTCCCAGCTGATTTTCTGCTGGTTTGAAGCCTTTTTTGGCCTCCCAAAGGCTCAAGGGGAAGCCTCTGCAGCCTTTGTGGGCCGAAAAAAAGGCCCGTTTCATCACTTCCTGTATTTCCAGAAATACCGGAAGTTACGAAACAGGCCCATTTTTCGGCTTCCAAAGGCTGCGGAGGCTTTCCTCGAACCTCTGGGAGGCCGAAAAAGGCCTCAAATGGGCTGAAAAATCAGCTGGGAGGTGCCGTGCAGGTAATGGGGGCGGGGGAATCGCATGCATGCGCAGGGGGCATGGGGGGGCTGTGCAGATTGCCTTCTAGGTGCTGGCACATGAGCACGCGCGCACAATTTTGGGCACAGTTAACCCCAAAAGGTTAGCCACCACTGCCCTATCGCATTTCAGACAAACGGCTGTCCAGTCTCTTAAAATCCTCCAGCGATGAAGCGCTCACAACTTTCAGACGCAAGTCGTTGCCCGGATTAATTGTTCTCACCTCGTGTGGTCCTTAAGTGAATCCAGCTTTGCCGATTTGACTCTGCTGGCTGGAAGCTTGTGATCACGCGACTTGTTGCAGGGGTTACAATAGTCATCAATGCCACCGTGGCACCCACGTTGCGATGGCATTGACTGCGACGGTTGTAACGTTGAGGACCGATGGACCGAAGTCACTTTTTCTGAGCTGGCTTGTGACTTCGCCCTGTCGTTCAAACAAATGGTCGTAAGACGAGGACGACACCCAATAAGGAGACGTGGAGAAGACACCCATGGGTGTTTGTAGAATCACTTAGGACCACAACTGAACAGGATATTTGATCCTTAGCAACCCCCAACAGGCGTGGAGACCACGTTCTCCAGATATTTGCATCTCCAAGTTTCACAGTCTTTTTACAGACAGTTTGTGCCTGCTGAAATTGATGGCAGATAGAGCCCCAAATATATCCATGGGGACAGGCTGCCTCCTTCTGGAAAAACTGCAGCCTCTCTTTAGAATAGAATAGAGTTAGAAGGGACCTTGGAGATCTTCTAGTCCAGCCTCCCTGCTTAGGCAGGAAACCCTACACCACTTCAGACAAATGGTTGTCCCATCTCTTCTTAAAAACTTCCAGTGTTGGAGCATTTTACAACTTTCTGCAGGCAAGTTGTTCCACTGATTAATTGTTCAGGAAATAATTAGTTTATAATATAAAATACAAAAGAAAATAGGAAAAGGAAAATTGTAGGGAAAAAGGGGGAAAAGGAAGAAAAGCCAGTGCCTTTTGACTCCCTTTGGTGCAGTAGAAATAATAAAATAGCATCAAGCCTCAACTTTTTACTTAACAAACCTATCTCGTCATCACTAAACCCCAGAATCAAAGTTTCCTTCTTTTTTTTTTCTCCCTTCTTGAGCACAAAGTCCAGAAATGGTTTCCAAGGAGAAACGAAAGTCATTCCGTTGTTTTTCTTTTGCAGTAGTTTTTATTGTTCTTTTTCACCTTTTACACATACTGATCTTAATTTTAACAGTACTGTGTCATCATTGTTATACAAACCAATCTCATGTAAATATCTACATTTATATACATCCATATACATTTATCTTTAATTTTCTTACCTCCTTTCTCCTTCTTTCTATTGTTCAACGATTTGTACCAATTATCCCTTTTTTTTTTCTTTAATAGTAACTACTATCCTCAACCGACAATCCAAAGTCTCTGTGGCAGGGTTTCTCAACTTTAAAACTCCTGGACTTCAACTCCCAGAATTCCCCAGCCAGCTAGAATTCTGAGAGTTGAAGTCCAGGCCTTTCAAAGTGGCCGAGCTTCGAGAAACGCTGCCATAGAGAGAGGTTGGATAGATTACATGGAGTTAGAAAAAAACCATTCAACCCCATCGGTTAAATATCGAGCGTCACTCTGTTCGCACACAACACACATTGGACCAGTTTTCACTCCTGGAGAGGGTTGGCCTCTCCTCCTCCTCCTCCTCCTCCTCCTTTTTCTTCTTCCTCCTCTCCCCCTCCCTCTCCTCCTCCTCCTCCTTCCTCCTCTTCCTCTCCCTCTTCTTCTCCTCCTCCTCCTTCTTCTTCCTCCTCTTCCTCTCCCTCTCCTCTCCTTCTTCTTCCTCCTCCTCTCCCCCTCCCTCTCCTTCTCCTCATTCTCCTCCTTCTTCCTCCTCTCCCCCTCCCTCTCCTCCTCCTCTCCCTCTCCTCCTCCTTCCTCCTCCTCTTCCTCTCCCTCTCCTCCTCCTTCTTCCTCCTCCTCTCCCCCTCCCTCTCCTTCTCCTTCTTCCTCCTCTCCCCCTCCCTCTCCTCCTCCTTCTCCTTCTCCTCCTCCTCTCCCCCTCACTCTCCTCCTTCTCCTCCTCCTCCTTCTTCTTCCTCCTCCTCCTCTTCCTCTCCTTCTCCTTAAATCCAGGAACTAAATTCACTCAGTCATCCTGCAGGGAATCTCGGAGTGAGTGATGGAGAAGAGGCATAATGGCCGAGAAGGGAGACTGTCTTTTTTTTCTCTGTAGAGACTGGGGTGGGTTTTTTTTTTT